CAGGCCATACCCCAGTTCCCTAGGATGTGAGGCTCCATGCTCCTTTCCACTCACCTTCTACTAGTCCAGCTTTGTTTTCTTCTCCTGAAATTTTGCTGCCCCATCTTGTGAATCATCCAGCTGACCTTGCCTCTCTTTTCTCCCCTCTATACCACTGTCAATCAGTTCTTCCCACACGCCAGCTCTGCTCACAGTCAGCTCTGTTCAGTTCTCCCAAACAAAATCCTGAGTGTTTCCTTGTTTCCTAGTTGGGTTCAAACTCCTCAGCTCAGCCTTGGGATCCTCCATATTGCTTCTTCACTTATACCTTTTATTTATTTATTCCATGTTTCTGCCAGTCTGCATCAGGGACTCGATTTTCCTGCTGTCTCATTTGTTTGGGGTCTGCCTGGATGTGTTGGGCTGCTCTGGTTGCATAGGAGTATCTTGGATGTGTGCAGTGCAGAGGTCCTTTCTCTAAACCACACGACAGGCTCATGGCAGCCCTGTGACCCACACCATGGAATGGGCGTTGCCTAGTTCTTCTCTGTTGACCATTCAAGACTGGGTTAAATATTACTTCTTTCGAGATACACTTTCTTCTGTGCCTTTTCCTGACCTTGTTTTCCATTTCCCACAATTGATGGCTGTGCCTCACTCTCTTCTTTTCAGTGCTGTTAACTCTAGGAAGAGCCCAACCATAGCATCCCTAAACATTGTAGACGGGTTCTCCAGATGCTCCACCTCTGGTGCATATTCCTCCTGCCCCTAGTTAGCACCGACTGGGAGAGCTAAGAGGTCCTCATTCTCGTCTCTTGCACACACTCCCCCCAACCCCTGAGCACCACACTCCATCACGCTGCTCCTTCAGTCAGTCAGGCAAGCAGAGCGCTCTGGAACTCCCAGCAGAACCACAGCTTCTCTGGGGCACCTCAGCTGAGGAAGTCATAGGACAACCTTCAATATACACCCCTGCCACTGGAGGGACAGCCATGGGTGCTGGGAACTGAACTCTTATATTTTTGCTTGTGAGCCTAGCCTTTAACGGTTGATCCATCCCTCCAGGCCAAGCATAGATTTTATTTTAAAAAATAACTCCAACATAATGTAAAATGGTACTATTATAAGAGAGTTATTTAGCGGGGCGGTGGTGGTGCATGCCTTTAGTTCCAGCACTAAGGAGGCAGAGGCAGGCAGATCTCTGTGAGTTCTAGGCCAGCCTGGTCTACAGAGTGAGTTCCAGGACAGCCAGGATTGTTATACAGAGAAACCCTGTCTTGAAAAAAAAAAGTTATTTAATGTAAAATTACAAGATTAGTTTAACAAGAGAAGAGTAACGTGACTTGGACAGGCCAGTGACACAGCACCTGTCTAGAACAATGAGGTTCGGGGCTCCATTTTTGCTACAGAAACTTTTTTTTTAAAGAAAGAAAATGACTACACTAATAAAATAAATGAGAAAAATCACAGGATTACTCAAATATACATTGGATAGGTACCTCATAAAACTCAATGACTTATAAGAAAAAAACCTTCAGATTGGAAACAAACATCAAATACCATAATTAATAGAAAAATACTGAATATTTCTCTTTGGGGTTAGGAAAGAGAGAAGAATACCATACATAACCCTTCTTAATCAGTGACGTGCTGGGAATCTCACTCATTCACCTGATTCCCAATAAAGGCTCAGATTCTCTGCCTCTCCCATAGCTCTGCCTTGTCCAATGTCATTGACTTCGCATTTCCTCTAATCAAGAGATGAATTTAATCACTCATCTCTTGAATCCAGGCTGGGCTTGTGCTTCGCTTTGTTTACACGAATGCAGTAAAATTGACAGTGTACCTACTCAGACACCCTCCTCACTTCCTCTCTCCTTGCCCCCTCCTTCCTTCTCCAGATCTCTTGTGTTCGGCCACAGCCTGTGGAGAAAACAGCAAATCGGAGACCATGGGTAGCTGACCCAGCTATCTCCGGTAGCCCCAGAGTGAGAAAAACTCAGTCCAGATAGGTCAGGCTGCTGAGCTGATCTGCAGCTAATTGCAGATACACACGTGACCAGCTAAAATCAATGGCAATACCAGACGCTCAGGAGACTTGTGAGAAATCTGTGGTATTTGGGGGTGGGCTGTAAAGTAACAGCCAGACGATACTGGTGGTGAATCAAGACCATTAACGTAGAAGGAAAATGGATAATCCCAGGTGATAGATACAGTTGTGAATGTAGAAAACCCAGCAGTACCTACGGGCATCCTTGGGTCCGTTTAGCAAAGTTGTAGGACCTCAAAATAAAAAAGCTGGTCATATTTCCTTAAAATCTAGCAACAAACAGGAAACGTTTTTTAAGCCCAAAACATTTCAGAGTGCTTGAGAGATGATTCAGTGGTCAAGAGCACTTAATGCCTCTGTGTAGGACCCAGGTGGGTTCCCAGCATCCATATAGTGGCTCACAACATCTGTAACTCCAGTTCTAGGGAATGTGATACTTCCTCTGGTCTCAGTGGACATCATACATGCATTTAGCACACATACATGAAGGTAACACACACAGAGATGATAAATAAAGACTTAAAATAACATTTTAAATAACAGCAAACTACATGTGGCACAAGAAATGGAACTAACAAAACTGCTAAAAGATTTTTCATATTAGATTTTAAATCATTACCGAGACAAGAGCTGTTTAGAAAATACAAATGGTTACAACCTCATTTGTGGACTGGAAAAAAAATCCCTTTAATGGGCCAGGCGGAATGGCCCACAGCTTTCATCCCAGCACTCAGGAGGCAGACGCAGGTGAGTCTGTGAGTTCAAGACCAGCCTGGTCTACAGAGTGAGTCTCAGCACAGTCAGGGCCATGTAGAGATACCTTGTCTTGAAATACTAAAACCAGAAACAAGCAACAGGAAAAAAGATTCTTATAGTAAAGATGTCGATTCCTTCCGTTTTGAAGATTCTAGATAATTCCAAAGTCATCTCATTTGTTTTTCTCCAGAATTTACTATTTGATTCTACAAAATGCAAAAGGCCCATATTAATGAAGTGATCTTTGATGGGAAAAAATGCAGAGAATTTGCTCTTTCCGTATACCAGGGTGTATCATGAAGGTATATTATTAAGATGAAGATAGACATTAGAATAGTGGGTAGAGTTTAGAATCTAGAAACAGACTTCTAGCACTTGATTTATGTAAATGTTCAAGTTTTGAGCACTAGGGAAAGTCTTTCTCATCAAATGGGCCAAGACAGCCACTGTATATGTCGAATGCATAAATGTTCTGGTTGAGTGGGAGATCTAAGTGAGTGAGGCAAACAGCATCTCACTCTCCGGAGATTCTGAGGCATCTTTGTGATGTTTCTAACCAAGATGGAAAAGATTGACAAACTGTACTGTTACCATTGCACATTTACATTTTCCTATCAAAGGCAGTAGAGGAGCCTGAAAGGGCAAGCCACCTAGAGGAGAAAGTGTTTGCAACGCAGGGCCAACCGTATATATGTGTCTGCGCTCCTTTAAATTAGATGAAGTTAATCCAATTAAAATGGGTAGATCACAAAGGGATTTATCTAAAATGGCAAGAAGACACATGAAATTGTTCAACATCACTATTAATGAATTAATGTGACTGTAAGCTATAGTCACAGAGAGATTCTAATAGAGATTGATCAGGATACCTAGATAAAACCGAGTGGACAGGAGTGCAGAAGCTGGGCACAATCTTAAATCACTAGTGGGAGCTAGCAGGATCACAGACTGGTACAACCACTCTAGAGAACACTTTGGCAGCGTCTGTCCAGGTGAAGAAACACATGCTTTGCTGCGTTTCAGTTCTGGTTCTAGAATCACGGCCAACAGGAAAGCATGTAGATGCACACCAATGGACAGCCAGATGCGGCAACATGTGTGCACAGCAGCGTTTCCAAACTAGCTCCAAGCTGTAAACAATGTACATTTTCCCTTGAAAAGCATAGCGTTGGCAGTTGTCATACACTAGAATACTACACACCCGTGAAAGCACACAAACCATATTCACATCCCATGAGATAGGTATGCAGCATCAATTAGATGAGAGAAGTTAGAGCTAAAGGATTTCTTACTGTGTGATTCCATGTATGCGTAGCTCCCCAAAACTGTCCAGGGTGGTGGCACACACCTGTACTCTTAGCACTCAGAAGGCTTTGGCTGAGGATGATCACATATTTGAGGCCAGTCTGGGATGCTTAGAGAGAAACAGTCTCAGAAAACAAACAGAACCATCAAAGTTCCCAGAACTTAACCATAGGAGGCAAAACCTAACTATGACGCTTAGACACACACACACACACACACACACACACACACACACACGTGCAAAGCTTTAATAACAGTAAAGGAAGTCTTTCCACTTAAAGTCAGGAGTGTGTGTGTCTTTGGGGGAAGTGCAAGGAGAGGAGGGAGCAATCTAGTGTGCAGATAATATTCTATTCTAGACTGCAGGAATGCTTCCATGGTGGCATGAGATCTCTGGTACAGCCTTTCTGAATTATTGATTTTTGCTTTTGTTTTTTTTTTAACAGATGGTTATTATTTTGATGAACATGAAGTTCCAGGTTATAATATATTATCATCTACTTGATGGAAGAATTACACCAGGGTCCACGGCATCAAGAACGGCCCAAGAGAAAAGTCTACAGCGTCCTTTATCCATGCTAGCGTTGACACCAACCACGGCTTTAGAACAACTGCCTGGAGTTACAGCTGCATCAACAATTATCACAGAGCCTCTGAATTAAAATCTAGTGATTCTCCTTTTAAAGCCTTTATTCGTAGACACATTTTAGTGCGAAAGAAACAAGGCAGACTTACATTGTATGCGGACATACAGGAAGTTATGAACCTTTTTTTAGTCAACAGTTTGAAAAACACTTACATCAAAGTAGATTAATCAGTGATAAAGCTGAAATTTCTGAAGGCACTCAGAGAAAATCTGTATCTTCTAGGCTTTCTCTCTCTCTCTCTCTCTCTCTCTCTCTCTCTCTCTCTCTCTCTCTCTCCCCTCTCTCATCTCATCGTCTTTCTTGTTCTCGGGGATTAAGCCCTGCCCGTGCTAAGCAAGTAGTCTCTCACAGAATGCCCTCAGCATTATTTCTTAAGCAACTAAGTTTTGTTTTGTCTGCTCTATTCTCGCAGCATATAAACATTACTTTTCAAAGGAAGATCTGGAAAAAAACCAAGATTTAGCTTTTTTTTTTTAAAGCACAGTGTAGCTGCTAAAATTGTCTGTAGCTATTTCTTAGACAATTAAAATTTCTTTTTAAATTTTCTTTTATTAATTTTAATATTTATTTATTATGTATACAATAGTCTGTGTGTATGCCTGCAGGCCAGAAGTGGGCACCAGACCTCATTACAGATGGTTGTGAGCCACCATGTGGTTGCTGGGAATTGAACTCAGGACCTTTGGAAGAGCAGGGAAATGCTCTTAACTGCTGAGCCATCTCTCTAGCCCCAATAATTTCTGAGCTCTCTACAAGTCTCAGCTGTGGAACTCTGTCCTCTGGGCATGATGTAGCCATTGCCATCTTGAATTCAGGGCAACAGAGCACTCACTAATGTTTCCTTGTGGAAGTGTGGAAGGTGTTCAAGGGTGTGTACAGGACCCTGCCCCTCCCTGAGGGGAAGCTGTTGCTATGGGGAGGTAGTATTCCTTGGTTACCACCAAGGAATAGCTCTCCGTAAAGTGTCCATTGCTCTGTAAGCAGCCCTTCACCCATGCTCCTGTATATAATCCCAATTACTTTTTTAGGTTTATTTTATTTTATATGTATGAATGTTTTGCTTGCATGTATGAATATGCACCACATGTGTGCCTTGCTTGGAAGAGGGTGTCAAATCCCCTGGAAATGGAGTTATAGATATTTGTGGGCCCACACGTGAGTGTTGGGAACTGAACCATGTTCTCTGTAAGAACAAGTGCTCCTGCCTGGTAGTAGTGGCGCACACCTTTAATCCCAGCACTCAGAAGGCAGAGACAGACAAATCTCTGAGTTCGAGGCCAGCCTGGTCTACAGAGTGAGTTCCAGAATGGCCAGGGCTACACAGTGAAGCTATGTCTTGAAAAACAGCAGCAACAACAAAACAACAACAACAACAAGAAGAAAGATCAAGTGCTCTTAACTTCTGTTTCATCCTTCCAGCCCCAGGAAGCCCAGCTGAATCCACTGGTTCAACAAGCTCAACTTGGGTGGATTCTTTTCTTGGGTCTATCACTATTTATTGTCTTGTCTGGAGTCATAGAGGCTTCTTCACTTTGGCATAGGGAAAGTTAACACACCAACTTCACTTAATTGTTTCTCTATGGGAAATATTTATAATGCCTTCCATTAAAGAAAAATCTGATAGTAATATTTTTCTATATCTTTGAAGTATTTTTCTTAAATCAGCTAAGTATTTTGGAGAAAGAAAATTTAAGAACATCTGCTCTAGAGGAGTCTTAGATGGGGTTTTTGCTTTCCCAGCACATAGCAGCTTACATGAATTGTTTGTGCTCAAGGAAGCTGCTTGTATTGAATATATTGAGTATGACACCATATATTGTCATTACAATTACAATACAAACAGCTTAACCTTGAGCAAAACATCAGAGCTTGCTTAAATATAAGAAAAGGGTCACTCATCTATCAGATATTAGTAACTCCCCTGCCAGCCACGCTGCTGTGAACGAATTCCTTCTTATGTGGGTGTCTACTCTCCTAGGCCCTGAGCTAGGTCTGAGGAACACAGAGATGGGCAAGGCGAGATCTCTCCTCTGCCATCCGTCACAGCCTATGGAGACAGCTGACCTGGGAACACAGCGACAAAATCAGGGGGCCTGCCTTTGCCCAGGCCCACATTCGCACCCTCCACGTTCTGCTCTTCACGGCTGGCAAACTAGAAGAAACAGGTGAAGACACTCTCACCACAACAACGTGCAACAGAGACATCCATGTGCCCCAAAGAGAGAATCTGAAAGATTTTGACTTTTGTATCTAAACAGAAATCTTGGACCGCTCTTCCTGGAAACAGAGCACTCAGCAATGAAGCCCTGATCCTGGGGGAAGCAGAGGAAGAAAATCCCAACAAAGAGGGCAGGGGCAGAGAAGAGCAGGAAAGAGATTGCCGGGTTCCGCTTAGTGGAGAAATAGACGAGTTGTCAGACTCCAGAGCCGGCCTGCGGTGGGCCTGTCCACCCTTTTCTATTGTCGGGTGCTGGGATGACTGCATCGATGAGGCAGGGGTATTCTCTCCTGATGAAGAGAACAGAGGTTCTATGATTCCGGCTGCGGGGCAGGTGAAGCGGAGGAAGAGACGGAATCTTTTATTTTTATTTATTTTTTTTTATTTTCGAGACAGGGTTTCTCCGTAGCTTTTTTGATTCCTGTCCTGGAACTAGCTCTCGTAGACCAGGCTGGCCTCGAAGTCACAGAGATCCGCCTGCCTCTGCCTCCCGAGTGCTGGGATTAAAGGCGTGCACCACCACCGCCTGGCTTAAGAGACAGAATCTTCAGGGATCTGTGAGTTGTTCAGCGAGGGTCAGGCACAGGCCGTGTCCAAAGAAGCTGACCCCGTGACAGCGCTTTCTTGTGAGATGATCGGTTACCACAACTGTAACTGCCTGGGACACATTTGGGGCTGGAAAGCACAACTCAGTGTGGAGCATCGGAGTCTCCTCTGGGTGGTGAGGAGAAAAAGAACGGGTGGGCGGAGTCGCTTTCCTCAGGGGCACTGGCCCCAGGGGAGAGGCATTTGTAATACTGGTCTTCCCCATCCAGGACTTTGACTTGTCTGCAACAGAGAAAAGAGGCTTTTCAATAGGAAAATCAAACAGATGCCAGGATCATCCATCCCTGGCGTACCTAAAGTTGCAGGGGCAGGGGCAGTGGGAGGGCGAAGGGTGGGAAGGGTGGGGAAGGTGGGTGGGGGGGACGAGGGGGCTGGGAGCAGGGCTACACCCTGGCCAACTCTTAATGTGCCTACATTTGGGGCAGTATCTTGGGTCTGATAATGAAGCTTTTCTATTTCTGGGCCTTGGTAAGCAGTACGTAAAAGCTGTGATCATATCATAACTTGATTTTCCTAGGGTCAACTGGTCTGTCTCCTCCACCTGGTGCCCTCTAGAGACAGTTCTGCCCCGACCTCCCTCAGTTCGGAGCAGTGCCAATTATAGCCTCCCTTTCTGGTCTCCATTGTGAGGCTGGCAAACAAGTGGACTAGGTACTCTTCCTCATCATTCCCGGCAAGGGTTAAGCCTCAGGAAGGATGAACCGCAGCGGGAGTGCCTGTCTGCATTTGGGAAAAAGGAGCTCTTGCTCATGGAAGGAGAGTTTTGTACAAGTCAGAGCCAGTCTTTAATTCTGATTCTGTTTCCTTGGGATGATCGGGAGAAATAACATTTGTCCTAGGTGACAGTCTCAACCTTTGTGGACAGAACGGACTCAAGTTTTGTTTACTTGCCACTGTGAGAACGAATTGCTAGTGCCATCAGCGGCGGCGATCTCCGGGTGGGGTAGTATTTTTAGAAGGCTCTCTGGAAAGTTTTGCCTTTCCTGCGCTATCACAAAGGACCCCTTCTGTTTACAGTTGCTGGAAACTAAGAAGACAGATATTTACCCAAGTTTTCTTGGCTTCCTCTGGCTCCCTTGATATTCTAGAGTTCCCTGTGGATAGGGCCAAGAACACACAGTCAAAGGAAAGCACCAAGTCGTTAATTTTTAATTCAAAGTGATTTTGTGTTGAATGCAAGCAGATGCTGATAATATCAGAAGTCACAGCATAATTTTTTTGATCAAAGGGCTCAAGTGAGCCTGATGAAGCATGCATCTTGCTCGTCTTTGATAAACCACATCAATTATTCACCGTGAAGGCAGACATCCTGACATGAAAGCAACAGATAAAGAGCCCAAGCACATGCTCGCGAGGCGAGGCGAGCAGAAGAGCGTGGGGGTGGGGCTGGAGGGGGCTGGAACAGGTATTAATAACGGAATTATTAACTGGAAACAAAGCCGGTAAAACGGCTTTACGGCCACTTTGAACTCACATTTAACTGGTTATAGTACATGGTGTCCTCGGGGCTACTCAGCATTTTGGGCTGCTGACACCGTCTACGAGGTGCGCGCTGCTTCTGGGAGAGCCCATCTTCCGAACCTGCAGACAAGGAAACTTCATCGCAAGCCTTGCCGGGCGTAAGGAGACTGAACTGGGGAACCGCTCTTCGTGTAAATGTACTTGGTAGAAGCCCTGTCCGATTTTAACGAAGCGTTGTTACTTCTAGGAGCTGGAGCTATGTCATCACATATGCACACACACACACACACACACACACACACACACACACACACACACAGAGTATCATTAACCGTAAGCAGAGTGCGGGCATCTGTAACTTTGCTGCCTATTTCCAACTTGAACCGTCAGGCCAGAGTGACAGAAAGCAAATTGGTTTGTCCACACTGCTGAGGTACAAGCTGATTGGTGGTCAGCCTCTGCCCAGGAAAGTACCTGGAGCAGGATAAGTCCATTAGAGACAACAAAGCAATCTGGCATCGCTTGCCCCACACCCTCTAGTGAGAGTTCAAAGACATCTGGAGCGCACATACTCCAGGGGAGAGCAAATGTTTCAGTGGGATGCATTTTAGGGGAACACGGCTTGAGCTAGTGTTTAGTGAAGTGCTTTGAACCCTGCCTCTGATCCCTGTGGCCTCTGGAGGTGAGAGAAGGGAGGAGGAGAGGGAGGACTGCTCGATTTCACGGGCAGCCTCTTCTGGTCTGCCTTAATTTCAAACCCTAGACCTAGAGAGCACCGTGGATTAGGAAACCACACGGCAGATAAAGCCACAATTCATTTCCCTTCTAAGCAAATGAGTTTTGTAGATTCTGCTGTCCCTTTGGTTGGCTATCAGAGTCAAGGTTCAGCAGTTCAGGGTGGAGAGATGGCACTGGCTGCTCTCCCAGAGGACCTGGGTTCAATTCCCAGCACCCACATGGCAGCTCACAACTGTCTGAAACTCCAGTTCCAGGGGACCTGGCACCCTCACACAGACATACATGCGGGCAAAACACCAAGGTACATAAAAAAATAAACAAGAGTGTGTGCTACTCTTCAAGGAACTGAGTTCAGTTCCCACCATCTATGTCAAAGAGCCCACAACCACCTGTAACTCCAGCTCCGGGGCAATTGGATACTCTGACTTCGAGCTCTGGTATTCACACACATACACACACGCACACACACACACACACACACACACACACACACACCTGCCAAAGGGTATTGTCCTTGAATGTTACAGGATAGCAAAGAAGGCTTTTCATGGACAGCGTGCTCATGATAAGCTAATTATTTACAGACAAGAATTGGGGGTCATGGAGAGAGGGCTCAGTGATTAAGACCACTGGTTGCTCTTGCAAAAGACCCAGGCTCATTTCCCAGCACCCACATGGTGGCACACAACCATCTGTAACTCTAGTTCCAGAGGATCTGACACCCTCATCTGGCCTCCAGTGACCACACACGCATAAGGCACACAGACAGATACCTCTAGACACAACAACCATACACACAAAGTAAAATAAAAATAAACAAATATTTAAAAAGGGATTGGAGATTTGTGTTTCAAACCATATTTTAACCTCAATAGAGATTTCCACTTTGAGTAGAAATTATAGAGAACATTTTTTTTTATTTTGTATGCCGTGTTCTAAAATCTAAGAGCTGACTGATACATAAAACATTAAAATATACACATACTTGGGTTGCCATACAATGGTTCTCTGCATATGCCAGGTAATATTTAAGTCAGGCCAAGTATATCTACCTTCTCAAATGTTTAACATTTCCTTATGAAGGAGACACTTGAACTCCTTTCTTCTGACAATGAAGTGCACAGCAGATTGCCGTGACATGTAGCCAGTCTACACCAGACTTTCATATTCCTGTTTCACCTGTATCCGCCAATCAACTCTCCTCCCTCCCTCCTTCTGTCTCCCGCCCTTTGGTGGTCAGCTTTTTCCTTCTGTGAGATAAATCCCTGATTATCCTGCAAACAGATGGTAGGTGTGGTCCTTGTCTTGTTTTCCTTCACACAGTCATCCTTGGTTCCATCCATTCTGTTAAACACTGCAGGGCTTCACTCTTGCGAGAGCTGAGTAGTGTCCTGCTGGGTATATGAGCCACACTCTCTCTAGGCATCAGCTGGTGGACACAGCTTGTTTGCAGTTCTTGGTGGGTGCGAACAGTGTTTTCAGGAACATGGGAACACAGGTTACCTCTTTGACACACTGACTTCATTTTCTTTGGGTTTATAGCCCGTAGAAGAATTGCTACATCATGCAGTATTTTTTATATTTAAAAATTGTAATTATTGACTGTAGGTGGTGGCACACGCCTTTAATCCCAGTATTCAGGAGGCAGAGGCTTACAGATCTTTGTGAGTTTGAAGCCAGCCTGGTCTACAAAGTGAGTTTCAGGACAGCCAGAGCTGTGACACTGAGAAGCCATGTCTCAAAACACCAATTTTTAATTTAATTTAATTTTAAAGTTTTTAATTATTATTTTATCCATAGGGGTGTTTTGCCTCATGTCTGTGCATCATATGTATGCCGTGTGCCCACTGAGGCCAGGAGTGGGCATTAGATTTATGTAACTGGAGGTACAGGTGGCTGTGAGCTGCCATGTGGGTGCTAGGGACTGAACCCAGGACCTCTGAAGAACAAGTGCTCTTAACCCCTGAGCTCTATCTCCAGTCTTGTCTGTAAATTCTTTTTGTAAGTACCCATTTAGGTTCACTATGCTTTTTTTTTTTTTTTTTACATATATTTGTTTATATGCACACATATGCTTGTGATTTGGCATGCGTGTGGAGGTCAGGGAAGAACAGTTCTCTTTCCCACCATGTAGGTTCTGGGGGTCAGTCTGGGGTTGTCAGACATGGTGGTAGGTGTCTGTGCTGGTCAGTTGTATGTAAACTTGACACAAGCTGGAGTCGTTAGAGAAAACGATTTGCCTGTAAGCAAGCCTGGAGTGCCTGTTCTTGATTGATGATTGACGTGGGAGGACACAGCCCAGTGTGAGCAGAGTCACTCTCGGGCTGGCAGTCCTAGGTGCTATAAGAAAGAAGGCTTGCTGGGTGTGGTGGCACACTCCTTTAGTCCCAGAACTTGGTGGGAGTCGGGGAGGAGGCAGAGGCAGGCAGATCCCTGTGTGAGAAGCCAGCGTGGTCTACAAAGCAAGTTCCAGGACATCCGGGGCTATGCAGAGAAACCCTGTCTCGAAAAACCAACACCAAAAATAAACTAATACCTACATAAATAAATATTAAAAGACAAAAAGAAAAGCAGGCTGGCTGGGCAAGCCATGAGAAGCGAGCTAGTAAACATGACTCCTCCATGTCTTCTGTATCTGCTCCCGGCCGCAAGTGCCTGCCCGCTTGAGTTCCTGCCTGCTCAGATTTCCATTATTAATGAACCGAGGATGTGAGCTGTGAGCTGAAATAAGGCCTTTGCTCCCCCAGGTTGCTTTTGGTCCTGGTGTTTACCTCAACAATAGAAATTCTAACCAAATCTTTACCTGGTGAGACATCTAACTGGTGCAGTATTCAGGCACCTGTGCTGGCCTGCCCTTAGGGTCCTGACAGGATGCGTCCTCAGCTGGAGCTACTAAGGGTCCCTCCTGTTCTCATTGTCGGTTCCCTTTTAAAAGGTGGGCCTGCCCACCTCCCATCTCTTTCTCTTTCTTCCCCCCCTCTCTCTCTGCCACTCCTGTCTCCAGGGACCAGCACCCCCACCCCCTGCTTTCTGTCTCTGCCCATTCTCTCTCCTAATAGTCCTCCTATGTTAAGAGAACATGCTGATTTTTCTAGCGGGCTCACAACCACCTATAACGCGGTCTCTATGGGATTTCATACTGACCTCCATGGGCACCCACATTCATGTGCACATAGTTATATGCGTACATAGACATAATTTTAAAAATCTTTATATTTTAAACTTATTTCTTTATTTTGTGTGTGTGAGGTAATTTAAAAAAATTTTTATTTTTGCTAGTCAGCTTTTGAGTTCCTTATACTTTAGATATTAACCCCTTGCTAAATATGCAGTTTGAAAATATTTTCTTCCATTCTATAGTTTCTGTCTCTTTATCCTATTGATTATTTCCTTTGTTGAATAAAAGCTTTTTATCTTGGTGTAAACTCATTTGATTACTTTTACTTTTGTTTGCTGTGTTTTTGAGTGTCTTAGAAAACATTTTCCCTATATGCAAGGTACTTTGTTAGATACAATGGACTGATAAAGGAGATCCCTGAGGCTTGCTGGCAACTGTAATTGGTGAACTCCAGGCCAATGAGAGATCTTGTCTCAAAGGAAAAAAAAGAAAGAAAGAAGAAAGAAAGAAAGAAAGAAAGAAAGAAAGAAAGAAAGAGAGAGGTGTACGTGTGGACAGATCCTGAGAAATTAACACCAAGGCCGTTCTGTGGTCTCTACACACATGCCCTGCCCCCCTCAACTAGGCACAGGTTATAACCCATGTTCTACAACTGAGCTGTATCTGGGTGACAACTGCAGACTGAGCTTTCCTCTCCCAGAATTCTCCTGTTCTCATTGCCCTGCCTCTACTTCCTGCCTGGCTACTGGCCAATCAGCCTTTTATTAAAATAATACAAGTGACAAGATAAAAGATCGTTGTCCCACAGCAAGTGGTATGTGGACAGAGAAGATCAACCATGAGGGAGGGCGGCAAGGGGGCATGCATCCAATCTTTCTCAGTCTGGGGAACAGGCTGGGTTCTTGGTCTCTGAGGGATAGGCAGGCTAAGAAACAGAAGTCCTGGGACAAAAGGAGTGGACACCTGGGGAGTCACTGGTCCTGTTCCCTCCCACGAACCCTAGCAGGCATAGTGGGTTTCTGAGCAGAGAGCTCTGATCTTATTGCCATTTTATGGATGACGCATTCCCAACATCACTTGCCAAGGAAAACATCCTCTTGAAGCAAACAGAGCATTTACTATTCTAGATCTACAGATGGCAAAGCCCTGGTGAGATTATGAGATCTACCCCTGGGGTGTTTAAATAGGACCAGAGTTATACAATTCTTGTGCAAAGCCCTGTCAACTCCAAGTAGAAGTGTGTGAGGGGGTATGTCAGTCTTTG